ATCCTCATTCCGAATTCTGCTATTGTTTAAGCTTTCTGTACTTGCTCGTTTAATGTCTCTGTTCTTACTCGTTTAATTCAGTTCATACTGTTTAGCAAGTCAGTTCTGGAAATATTATTTACTGCAACAATTAATTCCAACAAGTCGCATATTCCCCTGTATATCCAGTCTCGTTAGAGTTCATTTGGCAAGATATTTTGAAAATTAAAGTAAAAGTAGAAATCTTGTCTCATGATCTATTGCTTTTGTTTCTTTCGAATTTACTAAGGTCTTGTTTGGTATGACTAGCATTTGTTTTTTTTTTTTTTTTGAAGAGTTTTCTCATGAAGTAATCTGAATTTTTGTTTGGAAATTAATTTCTAAGAGAGTTTTTTAGGCCTGATTGAGCCTCTTTTTTTTGTTTAAAATGTATTTTGGAATAGTATTTTGATGAAAAATGTGTGGTTAAATCCCTGTTTGAACTACATTAAAATTCTTATTCTCATTCTTCTACTCATTTTAAATCACAAATTTTTCAATAAAATAATATTTTTCATCAAATCATTAACTTTTCTTTATTTTTAATTATATATTCTCCATCAATCTACTATTTCAAAATATATTCTTCCAAAATAATGTGACTCAAATACATCCTTAAAAAATTTTTTTTGAATTTGTGTATAATATTATTTTATTGAAAAATGTGTGGTTAAAAATAAAAGAGAAAAATATATGTTGGAAATAATAAGGAACAAGCTGAGACTTTATTTTGAAAGTGCTTTTAGAGAAAATACAATGTACCACTTCCTCTAAAAATTCTTTTCATTGAAAGAAGCACTTTTTTGCCTCTGTTTGGTATCCATTCTTTTTTTCATTCTCATTCTTCTACTAATTTTCAACCACACATTCATCAATAAAATAATATTTTCCATCACATCAATAACTTTTCCTTCATTTTCAACCACAAAAAAGGTGTGATTTGACACTTTCTGTAAGTTTAGTTTTTCCCAAAAATGTTAGTCACCCGTCTCCATCGATGGTGTGAGTCGCGCATTCCCCCGTATATCCAGTCTCATTAGAGTTCATTTGGCAAGATATTTTGAAAATTAAAGTAAAAGTAGAAATCTTGTCTCATGATCTATTGCTTTTGTTTCTTTCAAATTTACTAAGGTATCGTTTTTTTTGTTCAAAATGCATTTTGGAATAGTATTTTGATGGAAAATGTGTGGTTAAATCCTTGTTTGAGCTACATTAAAATTCTCATTCTCATTCTTCTACTCATTTTAAATCACAAATTTTTCAATAAAATAATATTTTCCATCAAATCATTAACTTTTCTTTATTTTTAATCACATATTCTCCATCAATCTACTATTTCAAAATACATTCTTCCAAAATAATGTGATTCAAATACATCCTTAAAAAAAAGTTCTGAATTTGTGTATAATATTATTTTATTGAAAAATGTATGGTTGAAAATAAAAGAGAAAAATATATGTTGGAAATAATAAGGAACAAGCTGAGACTTTATTTTCAAAGTGCTTTTGGAGAAAATACAATGTACCACTTCCTCTAAAAATTCTTTTAATTGAAAGAAGCACTTTTTTTGCCTCTGTTTGGTATCCATTCTTTTTTTCATTCTCATTCTTCTACTAATTTTCAACCACACATTCATCAATAAAATAATATTTTCCATCACATCAATAACTTTTCCTTCATTTTCAACCACAAAAAAGGTGTGATTTGACACTCATTCTTCTATTAATTTTCAACCACACATTCATCAATAAAATAATATTTTTCATCACATCAATAACTTTTCCTTCATTTTCAACCACAAAAAAGGTGTGATTTAACACAAAGAATGTATTTTTTTCTATAATAATGGTTACCAAACGGTGCCAAAATTAATCGAATGGATTCAAAAACTAAAAAAGTAGTGTTAAATGGATTTTAAAAGGTTTTTTAGTCAGTTAAAAACCCTCAAGTAAAAACGGAAGTAAAGACTTCCCAAACGGGTCCCTAGTCAAGGTCAACCATCGAAAAAGAAACGCAGTCGTATTAACAATGCCTTCCACAAGACACTCTACAGACGACGCCGTTTACAGTTTAGATTTTTCATATCGCTCACTGAAAAGCTTCTCGGCATAGCAAGGGCAAAAGCTCAAAGTCTATAAAAGCTCATTTTCTCTGAGACAATTGCGATAACGATCCCCCTCCCTCTCTACTCCTATTGCTGGCGTAATTTGCCGGACCCCGCTCGATCTCACCGTCACAACACGCAAGAGCCGATCACAACCGTCGGAGTCAAAACAGAATTAATTTATTTACTCATTATATATATACACGTATAGATAGAATTCATAATTGATGATGGAGGATTATATGAGTGGGAGTGAAGAAGATTATTATTCATCCGATCGAGAGGATTCGCTCGACGGACTCGAGAACGATGAGTCAGATTCTAAATTTGTCCAATACAAAGCTCCTTCCTGCAAGGTATATTGATATACACATATATTCTTACTTTCCCTACACATGTAAGATTTTTTACATTTTTGAAATATTTTTAGGGACGGTTCTGAAGCTAACTTAAGTGTATTAGTTACGCGATAAAATATCAAATAATTTCCATTTTTTTTTTTGGGGTGAAATGACTTTGGTATCTAGTGCCATTTGACGAGTTTCTGCGGTTGTGAAGGTTAATATGCTGAATTTTTTGTTTCCTTATTTGATATGGTTTCATGTTATTGTTTAAAGATGAAGACGTGAATTGTATTGTGAAAAATTAGTATTTCTGTTGGTTAAATGAACTTGCCGAGAATCCTCTCAATGGGTATATCATTATTGAATTATTCTGACATTTTGTTATATTTGGTGGGTTTAAATGTTATGGATGTTGGTTTTATGTTTTTGCCATCAAATTTTCTTAGCCTGGAATACTGGCTTCTTAACCAAATAACCTATGGTTTTTGGTTGGGATGAAATCTTTGGACCACAGATTGGACATTCGATGCTTGCTAATGTTTTCTAATTATGTACGTTGATTTTGATGGTGTTGAATTGATTCACTGACCATTGTGGTGCCTTTGGCAGGTGATTACGAAAGAGTCTCTTTTATCTGCGCAGGTGAGTTAATAAGAACTTGTCATGTTTCTCTTTTCATGCTCTGTTTTAATAATGTTCGTTATGTTGTTTTAGGGACTCTATATGCATTGTTTTGTATAATGGGAGAACGATATTTTTTCCATCTGTGCAGAGGGAAGATTTGCGTAGAGTGATGGAATTGCTATCGGTGAGAGAACAGCATGCCAGAACTCTTCTCATTCATTATCGCTGGGATGTTGAGAAGTTGATTGCGGTTTACGTTGAAAAGGGGAAAGCCTGTATCTTTGCTGGAGCTGGTGTAACTGCTGTTGAAATTGTCAACCTTGATCCACCAGAAGCTTCTTCTACAGTGACGTGTAATATATGTATGGAAGATGTTTCTGCAACTGGGGTGACCAACATGGATTGTGGGCACTGCTTTTGCAACAGCTGTAAGCCCCCTTTTCTTATAAGGATTATGTTCCAGGCCTTCTGTTTGATACTATAGGAAATTGAATCAATAGTCACTTAAATGCTTCAGTTCCTCTGTGGCATCTTTGTAAGAAATTTGTTTTGGTTCATTTTGCATTGAGAAGTACCTCTGTTGAATCAGACGTTCTAGTTTTCAATTCTACTTTTTTACATTGGAATCCTTACTGTATTAAAAGTTTCTTTTTAGGTTGGACAGAGCATTTCATAGTGAAAATAAATGAGGGCCAAAGCAAGCGGATCAGATGCATGGCACACAAGTGCAATGATATCTGTGATGAAGCTATTGTCAGAAAGCTAGTGAGTGAAAAGCACCCAGATTTAGCAGAGAAATTTGACCGATTTCTTCTCGAGTCATACATTGAAGACAACAAAATGGTGAAGTGGTGTCCCAGTATACCTCATTGTGGGAATGCCATACGCGTTGAAAATGATGAATTTTGCGAGGTAGAATGTTTGTGTGGTTTACAGTTCTGTTTCAGTTGCTTATCAGAAACACATTCCCCTTGCTCATGCTTGATGTGGGAACTGTGGACGAAGAAATGCCGCGATGAATCAGAGACTGTTAATTGGATGACTGTGCATACAAAGCCTTGTCCCAAGTGTCACAAACCTGTTGAGAAGAATGGTGGTTGTAATTTAGTCAGTTGCATATGTGGGCAAGCATTTTGGTAATAACAGTTTCTTGAAACTTTCTTATATGTGCAATATATGGTGGCTTTATACCATTAAATCTTCTTACTTTGAAATAAATTATGTCTCGGTTTTATTTTGACAACCTAAATTATTTATGAAGCCTACATGCTTTTTTTTCGGGATAATATAGTTATGTTGTTAGTATAATTTGTAAGGGTATCGTGTTGCTTATGAAATGAAATCGAGGAATCTCCTGCCTCTCGTGTTGGTGCTACTGCTTGACGGAGGTGAAGAGTGACAAATGATGGAGTTGTTCTTAGGGAAGGTCACATTTCACAATAAATGTGTGTGTGTTTTACGGCTGAGATAATTCTGATGTTTATTTCTGATATTCCCACCTCTGTAAAATGGAACTAACATTCTTATCTACTTTTGGGCATTTTTTGTCTATTAATCTATCTTCAGTGCCATGATAGGTTTATGTACGAGGGGGAAAAGGGTTTTTCTGAAACTCATGGGTGGCTGGGGTGTTTTTTGGACACACTTTGACGATAGTGCATTTTTGCAGCTTTTTTAATTTGATATATGGAATGGCAAACTATCACTGTGATCTTCTAGTTGGAGCACAGACTTAGCCAATGTTCTTTTTTTTGACTTGTTTTCTTCTTCTCTAAATTAGTTTTGTAAATTTTGGTACTGTATATACTCTTAAATTACTACCTCTATTCACCACTGTTCTTATTTACAAGTCCCGTGTCATGTCAACAATTTTTTTGGTAGCATTGACTCTTTGTTGTCCATATTTATCTTTCCCATCACAGATAATTATTTTGAAGTTTAGTTTCATTCTTACAATTTTATTTTCCTGCTGTAGTTGGCTTTGTGGTGGAGCTACTGGCCGAAACCATACCTGGTCAAATATTACTAATCACAGCTGTGGTCGATATAAAGAAGACAGTGAGAAAATGGCCAAGCGTGCAAAGCGAGACCTTTACAGATACATGCACTATCACAATCGTTATAAAGCTCATACAGACTCCTTTAAACAAGAATCTAGACTAAGGGAGACTGTAAAGGAGAAGGTGTCAAATTTAGAAGCCACAGATTCAAAATTGAGAGATTTCAGCTGGATTACAAACGGACTTTGCAGGCTTTTCAGATCGAGGCGAGCTCTTTCATATTCATACCCATTTGCATTCTACATGTTTGGTGATGACTTTTTCAAGGATGAGATGACGGAAAAGGAAAGGGAAATAAAACAGCATTTATTTGAGGACCAGCAGCAGCAGCTCGAATCAAATGTGGAGAAACTCTCTAAATTTCTCGAGGAGCCATTTGATGAGTATCCTGAGGAACAAGTCATGCAAATAAGGATGCAAGTCATCAATCTTACAGTGATCACTGATGACCTTTGTAAAAAAATGTGAGTGTGTTATCAAGAAGCCTAAATCTTATCCTAGAAATGATGAAAGCTTATAGCCTTTTGATCTTCCAGGTATGAATGCATAGAGAATGACTTGTTGGGTTCGCTTCAATTCACTATTCACAATATAGCTCCATACCAGTCCAAAGGCATTGAAAGGGCAGCAGAGCTGGCCATTGGATGGAGCACACAAGCAGGCAGCATTAAAAAATGTCAGAAAGCAGATGGTCAAGCCAATGGTAAAGTGACTTTTCATTGTGTTCGAATTTTTATGATGAAAACTAGGAGAGTAATTATTTTAAGGTTCAGCGTTTTTCTCAGATAATGGATGGGACCTTTTCACTTAGATTAGCACTTCTGATTGCTGAACTGGTCAAAGTGGTATAAATGGTTAAGATCTTGTTGTTGGCCTTTGTATGGCTACATGATGACAGAATTTCACCTATAAGAAGACCACCATAGTTCAGAGTGGGAACAGGAATCTGAATCATTTCATCATTGAAAAACTATACGTGATGCTATGGTTTTTTTCTGAGAACATTAAGATTCCTCTAATTTGATTTTTTTATTAAATGCTTGTTTTATAAAAATTTTCTAAAATTGTCAAATTTCAATTTTAACCACAAATTTCATGGCCCCACAACTTTTTACATCAACTTTTCAACCCTACATTACATCAACTTTTATCAAAAGCTTTGTCAAAAAACCTCAAGTAAAAAGGACATTCTTGAGTAATACGCTGTTTTCAATTAAAATTTTCATGTCAATCTTACTTGTGTAAAGAGAAATTTTCTCTTTTAGCATTCTAATTGTGTCTTGTTAACAGTAATGAAAGAGCAAGAAAGATAAAATAAAAGCTTATTAGTGCATACATATGCAGAATTCTCAAAATTTTCCAGTTTCTTTTCAGATCTTTACTCACTCCACATGCAATTTTTTGTTTGTTTTTGGTTTATGTGCTACCTGAAACTCTTAAAAACACATGCTTTCAAATTTGTAGCATTCATAAAGTTTCCATGCCCGACTAATGATTAATCACATTGCCAAATTTTGATCAACCTGGCTTAAGGGAAATTCGTAAGAATCTGTTCTATGAAAACGCCTTGCATTCCCCGGGGCTTACCCAAGTGAAGATTTGTAGAATTATAGGATCAACAATGACTTGAACATTAAACCTATCCGACAACCATGAAATCTGTTAACTTAACTTGGATATATACAGTGGTCCATATATGTCTGCTCATGTTGTCATGTATCATTTTGTAGGATGTATAATAGAATCAGATGTACCATCAGCATCTGGAATATCAGATGAGAGCGAACACTCATCACGAAAGCGTGCACGAAAAGGAAGTTTCGAGAGCAGCCTGTTTGATCTCAACTTGCCTGCAAAGTTTAATTAGTTTAGCTGATTCTTAGAGTTTCTATTTACTTTAAATTCCCGTTGTGTCTTTTAACTTACAAAGCAACTCCATCTAAAAGCTCTGAGAGCGAGATATGCTGTTTCGTTTTGTTCCCGATTTTGTTCAGACACAGCAGATGTGAAAACTAGGATTTCATATATTTTGAAGTATTGTTACTTGGACAAGTGTATCTTGTATATAATCTTTTGTTGGGATTCCTAACAGTGGTGAATAATTGTGTATATTTTCGCAGCATAGAGTTCTTTGTTCTTTGTTGTTTTTCGCAATATCTTTTCTTGGTGGTTATTGTTAATGGTACAAGTTATGGATAATTGGAAAATAATCCAATTCTGAAATTTGAGGATATGTGTATGGGCTAAAATCAAGTGCTATACTTTCTGCAAAATGTCGACTCTCTATCACGTGCCATCTAGTTTTAGTGCCCATAGGATTTTTTGCTTTTGTTTTGTCTTTTGTAAAAGAACTTCATAGTAAATTTTCTTAGGTTAGCTTCTTCTAAGATCAGTTTGATCCCCATTATTTTTAAAATATATTTTTCCTCTTCTTTTTAATTGTACATTTTTTAATAAAATAATATCACACGCACACCCAATTTTTTTTTTTCAATCACATTACCTAACAACCTGCTATTTCAAAATACATTTTTTTTAAAAAAAAAGGGGATTCAAACAGGTTCTGAGTATTTCTAGTTATATTTTCAAAAAAATATTCAAATACGTTCAAAAGCGATTTATTAATTCGAGAAGTAGTTTTTGATTTTTTAAAAATCCTGCCAATCAAACCCTTGATATTCAAGTTAGCTCGAACTAGATGTTTTCCTAGATTGGTAGGTTGAGTAATTTCGTTTTACACTTTTAAGTTGGCCTTGCTCAAAATAAATTAACATTCAATTATGGGGAGTATTTTACAAAAAAATCTAAAGACTTCAAAAAAAGTAAATTTCAATTCATGGGCACATGGTTAATGCAACTACGCTATAGAACATACTAGAACAAATGACGATTGACGAAGGGTAAATTCGTAATCTGAAAAAAGAAACCAAGGATAAAATTGTCCAACGACTCCAAAATATCTCTGGCAACGAACTCCTGAATTCCGTTTCATTTTCCCGCCATTAATTCGTTACAGGGTACTGTTATATATACACATGCATACGAACAAATTCTTCACTCTCACACACACTGCACCAAAATCAACCATAAAATGGCGATTCCTCTCCGATCCCAACTCCTCATCCTCCTATTGATCCTCATTTTCATCTCACTCTTCATCTCCGGCGCAACCTCCACAGACACCACTCTCGACGCCGGCGCTTCTGTTCCATCTATTTCTCCATCGTCAACAGTTTTCCAGCAGTCTCATACCTATTCCCCCACTCTCTTCGCTACCATCCTGTCAACTCTAGGTTTTCAGGAACTTTCTACGGCCACTGTATCCGCCAATCTCTCCGCCATTACGCCTCTCACTATCTTCGCCCCCTTCGACTCCTCACTCCTGACTTGCCCATCGTGTTCTCTTCCTCTCCTACTTCAAGAGCTCTCAGTCCCAGGCCTCTACCCGCTGCATTTTCTTCACTCCTTGGCATTCGGGACCAAGATCGAAACTCTAGCTCCCAACCGGTGCGTCACAATCACTACCAGCTCCTCCACCTCCGCCGCCGCTGGGCACACTAACAAGGGAAAGATTTTTGTCAACGGATTGGAAATCACGCGCCCTGATTTGTTCAACAATGGCCTAGTTGTTATTCACGGTCTTCAGGGCTTCGTATCGCATCTGTCTCCTCTGTCATGTAATGTTGAGCGCATGACGTCCCTCTCCTTCCCTCCGCCGGCGCTGTCTACATCAGTTACCACGCCGTTCTCGTCTATCATGCGTTTGATGTTGAAGGATGCTATCCTCCGCCTCCGAAGCACCGGCTACAGCGTGGTTTCTCTTGCTCTCCGCGTGAAATTCGCTGAACTCTCGGAGTTGAAGGTTATGACGGTGTTCGCTTTAGACGACACCTCCATATTCAGCGGCGGAGGTAGCGCTTACCTGTCTAACTTCAGGTACCACGTGGTTCCGAACAAGAGGCTGACAGCGGCTGAACTTGTTAGTCTACAGGCTGCTACTGTTCTACCGACCATGGAGGCTGGCCAGAACCTGGTAGTGACCACCGCTGGTGGAGGAGGTCCGTTGGCTCCAATGAAGATCAATTACGTTAGAATCACGACCATTGATCTGCTGCACAACAGCAGGATCGTGATCCATGGAATCTCAGTACCGTTTCCTCACATGCATCATCCAGTGACTGAGAAGGAGACATTTGAACAGATCCAACTGCCTCAGTGCGATCAGTTTGAGTGGAATACTGGGGTCTGTCAGGCTAATGCTCAAGTGCCAGCAGCTGTCATTACATCCACCGTTGATTCTGATGACCACCATGGTCTCTGATTACTGATGTAATCATCTCCCTAGCTATTCAACTGCTGCAGGCTGATTAGTGTACGTAACTGTTCTTTGTGGATGAATGAAGAAATATTAGCAATATATTTTGAATAATTTCTCTTTATNATATTAGCAATATATTTTGAATAATTTCTCTTTATTTTTGTGCACGAATGAATATTAATGAATCTTTGTCCAGTTAGTTAATTATTCCGTAGTTGATCGACTCATTTGATTTAAAAATTTGAACACACGTTATTTGCATCTGAGGGGCATGTTTGAGGATAAAATTGAAACACTTTTACATGACTTGTCTTTCTTTCTTCATCTCGATCAATTTCATGAGAGGTCGGTCTAGGACATAACATATTATTCACAGTAATAGTTTTTTGATTTTAATTTATCAATTAATGTAACGTTGATAAATCAATTCAATTATTTGGCAACAGGTAAAGAGAGAATGGTAAATAATTTTAGTAGTTGTGATTCTTTTGCTTTTGTTGTGCTTG